GTATGCCTTACTGTTTGCTGCATACCCAATGAATACGCATTCATAGGCTCTACTAGCGAGTTTAACTCGTTTCGGATCCGGAATTCTGACATAAGCCAGACAGCCCCAAGTTCTTAAATAAGACAAATTTGGTTGTCTTTTCTTTAATATCTCATAAGGTGAGATCTTACTTTTTGACTTGGGAACTTTATTCAGGACATAGCAAACAGTCAATAAAATTTCCCCCCACCAGTGAGGTGCAGCACCAGAATTTAACACGATTGCAACTACAAGTTCAGTAAGAGTCCTATTCTTTCTTTCTGCTTTACCATTCATTTCAGGAGAGTATGGAGCAGTCGTTTCATGTATAATACCATGTTCAGCATAAAAATCATTAAACAAGCTAGAGTCATATTCGGTTCCCCTATCACTGCGAAGTCTCTTAATCTTCTTGTTAAATTGATTCTCAATTTCAGTTACATACACCTTAAATATGTCAAGCGCTTCACTTTTATTCTTCATTAGATATACATAAGTATAATCAGAGCAATCGTCAATAAAAGTGATAAAATAACGTTTATTATTTCTAGTTAAACTTCCATCTAATTCACATATATCAGAGTGTATAAGATCTAGGGGATCAGATTCTTTTATTATTGATTTATGTGAAGTCTTTGTTATTTTAGCTTGACTGCAAAATTTACATTTATTGGAATCATTAATATTTAGTTTAGGGATTAGGCCTATGTTGCTTGCATTAGAAATGATTCATTTATTAACGTGACAAAGTCTACCATGCCAAATATTAAAATCACACAAAAGGTAAACAGAAGGAGAAGTTTTATTTTTGAAATCTTTCCAACCAGGGGGCAGTTTGTCAATAATTACAACAATTTGAAATTGTTCATTAAGGGGCATACCTTCTGTAATAATCTCATGAGCAATCTTCTGAATTTTGTGGCTTTGAGTTTCCACCGACTTCTCATCCACCATCTTGTAGTTCAAGTAGCGGCTGACAGCAAATTTCTTCGCACCTGCTTCTTCAGTATCATATTTCCTTTTCAGAGCCTCCCATACCTGTGTTAGCAGTTCTGTAGCTACTGTAGTAGTCGCACAGATCATCAGCAAGGCTGTTCAGAATGTGATTTTTGCACAGATAATCATTCTCGTGCCATAAGGTGATTTCTTTTCGGAGCTGCAGATCATCTGCTGCAGCCTTAGCTTTTGCAGCATCTGAGTCAGACATTTTGGAAGTCCCGTCTGAATCTGCAAGTGAGTTACCGTTAGGTAGTTCAGATGATGCAGAAGGGACAACCGGGATATCCTCAGTCAGAACGTGGGCAACCTTTTTCAGAGTTAAGAAAAATTTCATCTTACAGAGACCAAAGCGGCCGCAGTAGTACCGATAATTTCCTCAGTTGCCATGGCAGTTATGAGAGCGTCTTAAAATTGTTGTTTTCGGATTTGAAAAAATAGAGTTTGGCACAGGGAAATTATCGGGACGAGTCGCGTACTAGGTCGCTTTCTTTAAGACGTTTCGCTCTAGAAATACACCTTTCAAAGTATCTGGTTAAAATAACCAGTCAAGAAAAAAGAGAAAAATTATAGATGAATAGAATTAAGGAAGAGAAGAGGGAAATCAAAATTCATGAATTTGTGAAATCCGGAGTGCTTACTACTGAATTTCTACCCTTTATTTATAGGCAGCTAGTAAGGCTTAATTTTCATTCCCGTCAATGTGGGACTAAAATGAATCTTAATTTCCATTCCCTTCAATGTTGGACTAAAATTAATCTTAATTTTCATTCCTTCAATGTGGGACTAAAATGAATCTTAATTTCCATTCCCTTCAATGTTGCACTAAAATGAATCTTAATTTTCATTCCTCCAATGTGGGACTAAAATGAATCTTAATTTTCAAATTCACTTTCCAATTCCCATTAATATAATTCCAACATCAAATGTGGGACTAACATGAATCTTTTCAAATTCACTTTCCAATTCCCATTAATATAATTCCAACATCCAATGTGGGACTAAAATGAATCTTTTCAAATTCACTTTTCAATTTCTATTACTATAATTATTATAGTTCCAACAAAAAGAAATACGACTCGATTGACTGGAATTTTCTAGATTTATGATGGAAAAAATGGGCTTCAATGCAAAGTGGATATGTTGGATTAATGTCTGTGTTCGGTCCTCAACTGTTTCCATATTGGTTAACATTAGTCCTACGGATGAATTTAAGTTGGGCAGAGGGTTAAGGCAAGGGGACCTTTTATCCCCGTTTCTTTTTCTCTTGGTGGCAGAAGGTTTAGTCTTTTGATGGATAAAAGTGTACGGCGAAATCTGTTCGATGGGTATGAGTTTGGTAATGGTGAGGTGCAGGTTTCGCACATACAGTGTGCTGATGACTATTATTACCGGTACCAAAAGTTGAAAAAATGTTTGGGCTATTAAAGCAACCCTGCAGTTGTTTGAACTGGTTTCGGACTTGAAAGTTAATTTCTACAAAAGGTGCTTAATTGGTATTAAGTTATGGCTGGAGGAGGTGGCAACAATGGTGAATTGTAAAGTTGGTGAGACTCCAATGTATTGGGTAGGAGTTAAAATTATCGGTGCTGTTTTGGAATTGGTGCTGTTTTGTTCTTCATTGCTGCCTCACAGGGTAGGAGTTAAAATTATTGTATCAAGTATGGATGTTTTGGTGGATTTTAGAGATTTCAATGTATTGGGGTAGGGTGTCTGAGTTTTTGTTGTTCTGTATGTGTTTAATTTGTATGGGATTTGCTGCTGTTCTTGGCATTGCTTATGCCAATTGTTTCAGTAATATATTGCTGTTTTTGGCTTTTCAAGAAAAACTATTACAATGTCCATTACTAGCTATGTTGTATTTCTTGAATCTTCCCTCGTTTCCAAATCCAACTTAGAAGCATAATACAAGGCCTTTGCTAATCTCACATGGTAAATTTAATGGCTTCATTACCTATTCAAAAATCTTTACATTCAGCTCAACAAGCCCAATTTTATTTTCCGTGACTATAACTCAACAATCAACTTGGCACATAACTCAACAATCAACTTACACTTCTCAAAATCACAACATTTTAATACTCAATTGACAATGTTGTTAAATATGAAAAACAATCTTAATATTCTCAACATTTTAATACTCATGCACAAATCACAATTTTCCATAAACAAATCCACCATCAACCCTAAGATCGAGACCAGTAATAAACTCAGCATCATTAGAAACCAAAAACAGTACAGCATCCGCCACGTGTTTCGGCGTGAGCACCACTCCCTCAAGCCTCGCTAAGTTTTTATAAGTCTCTTGTGCATTCTCTTCACTCATCCCCAACAATTTACAAGTCAAAGGTGTTGCCAATCCATTCGGCGAGACAGAGTTCACTCTTATCCCATGTGGTGCTAGTTGCACGCTAGCCGCGCGCATTAGTCCCAACACCGCATGCTTTGACATTATATAATCGGTTGAGCGTGAGCCTCCATGGCTACCTCCAATGCTCCCGGTACACACGATGCTCCCCCTCACACGCTGTTCCACCATTGCACATGCTGCGTGTTTGACACACAACGCCATCCCTCGAACATTGACCGCAAATAAACGATCAAGCTTGGACATGTCAAGTTCCATCAGTGTTTGATTAGTTGAATTAATGAATCCAGCATTGCTGAACATTATATCTATCTGTTATGAAAATAACAAAAATTTTACCTCGTGCGTAACTATTAATCTCTTAGATTAAGCATAACTAAAATTAGAAAAAATAGAATGAACCTGTCCATAAGTATTAACCGTTGATTGAATCAGACTTTGAACTTGATCTTCATCTGTCACGTCACAATGAACATAGATGCACCTTTGGTTACCGATCGACGCGGCTACTTGTTCACCAAGCTCATCTTGGATATCGGCAATCACAACCACACGTGTGCCTTCGTTAGCAAAGACACGCGCTGTGGTTTCACCGATACCACTAGCACCTCCGGTTACTATGGCTATTTTTCCAGATAATCTGAGATTGGTGTTTGTGGATGGAGTTTCTGCCATGTTTGGATGCAAATATAATTGAATCTAAATGTACAATCTATTAATATCAAAGTATTTTTTTATTTATAAAGATGTAACAAGTACTTAGTTACACGCAAGTTTTGTCGTATGTCTGATTTAGTACTGTTTTACAATTTTTTGAGGTTGATGTAGTACCAATTGTTTGTCTCTTTTGTAGTTGGCCAAAGAAGTAGTGGGTGTGAATGGTGATGGCAGTGGGAGTGGACCATATATTTAAAGATGAAAACTTTGGCAGATTGTGTTTGGATTTACATTAAAAGTTGCATTGTTTCTCTCAGCATGCTAGGTGTGGAATATGACAGGTTTGTTGTCTAGATTCATAAATTGAAGTCATGAAAATTTGTTAGAAAGTCATGTATCTCACTTTTCATAATGACATATATTTTAAGAAAAATCGTTTAATAAGAGTGTAATTTCAAAATTTTTAAGTAACAAAATGTACACCTGTTCTAGTCATGCGCAAGACTCAAGACCAAATTTGGAAAGATGTCTGAAATAGATTTATTTTCACTATAATTAAAAACTGACAATTCCATTCTCTAGCGCATCAATCATCGCTCAATTTAATCAAATGCTTCTCTGCACAATCGAATGTATCACTCATGAACGATTTTAACTGCTCTTTATATATAAGAATAAAATACATTATTTTAGATATTTAAATTCATCTCACTCTTAGTTATTTTCTTACTCTTTTACGGATTTGAGCATTGAAATTCTAACCTTTCATATTTACCTAGTTTCATTGCATCAAAAGTATTATTCCATGTGACGAAACTCCACCACTTCATCTTTAGTTCTAGTTACTTACAGAACAACATCATTCTTAAATTATTTTCTATATTTCACATTTATAATACTAAGAATGCGTCAAGAGAACCAAAACATTAATTTAGTCTTAAAAAATTACAAGGAATTAAACCTAAGGTTGTGGCCTTGCATTGTCTACAACTCGACATAAATCATTAGGAACAAATCCACCATCAACCCAAAGATCAAGACCAGTAATAAACTCAGCTTCATTAGAAACCAAAAACAAGACAGCATCCGCCACGTGTTTCGGCGTGAGCACCACGCCCTCAAGCCTCGCTAAGTTTTTATAAACCTGTTGTGCATTCTCTTTGCTCATCCCCAACAACTTACAAGTTAAAGGTGTTGCCAATCCATTCGGCGAGACAGAGTTCACTCTTATCCCATGTGTTGCTAGTTGCACGCTAGCAGCACGCATTAGTCCTAACACCGCATGCTTTGACATTGTGTAATCCGTTGATCTTGAGCCCCCCTCTCTACCGTGAATACTCGCTGTGCACACGATACTTCCCCTCACGGAACCTTCAACCATTGCACGCGCCGCATGTTTCACACACAATGCCATTCCTCGAACATTTATTGCAAATAAATGGTCAAGTTGAGACATATCAAGTTCCATTACTGATTGTTCAGTGGGGCTAAATATTCCAGCATTGCTGAACATTATATCTACCTGTTGTGAGAATAAAAAAACACTTAAGTTAATGTTTTTATAGAAAATTAAATTCAACCATAGGAGAGAGTTTGTGAGAATATATACACTAGCATGTTCTTAAAATTAACATTAAAAATATCGACAAACCTGTCCATAAGTATTGACAGTTGATTGAATGAGGTTTTGAACCTCATCCTCATTTGCCACATTACAATGGATAAAGGTGCACCTTTCATTACCGATGGACATAGCTACTTGATTGCCCAGCTCGTCTTGGATATCGGCGATCACAACGTGACGAACGCCTTCGTTAGCAAAGACACGAGCCGTGGCTTCGCCGATGCCACTGGCACCTCCAGTCACTATGGCAATTTTTCCAGATAATCTGAGATTGGTGGTTGTGGATGGAGCTTCTGCCATTTTGGATGCAAATACTGTTAGTGAATGGTGATTGATGAATGATGAAAGTGAAAAGTGGGTCATATTAAAATTTGTAAACTTTGTAGTTTTGTGTTTGGACATAGCATATCGTGATGCTTTGGATCTCTTCATGTGCTACACGTGAAATATGTAAGTCTTTGTAGTTAGGTTAGGATATTGATTTAAGAAACTCAATCTAGAAAGTATTTTAAAAGCTATCCATGTGTAACGTTATTTCGACCTTCAATAATAAAGATCATATTTACAAAAACATACTCATTTTAAAATTAAAATTACATTAATGCTAAGTTGACAACAACTAATTAAACCAACACTTGTACCTACTTGTTGTTCTGCTGTATTTTCAAACTATATAAGGTAAAGTTTTAGTTTAAAGTCTTAGAAAAGTTTACATCTTTCTAGATATATGTTGTATTTGGTATAAAATCCTTTTTGGTCATGTATCTTTTACTATGGGTTTATTCTGATCCATAAATTTAAAAAGGATCATATGAATCACTTAACTAAAGTACAAACTAAATCATGTTAGTTTTTTCTATCTATTTTGTCAGTCAAATTTAATGGATAAAATCATGTGACACTAATGTAGAATGCCACATGATTTAGATTAATTTTTATGACTGATTTAGGGATAGAAAAATTGATCACTAAAAAGGTTTTATGGGTTTTGATTGTTGTTGTTCTTCTTCTTCCACAAAACCCACATAATACCAAATCCTTTTCATATACTTCGACACTTGTTATACAACATCACTTGTTATATGTACTTGTGAAATACAATGAGAATGACACTTCTCATGCATTTTTCGCTCTGATTATCTGAAATTAGTGATTGATCCTTCCTATCTTAGGGGTTATGATATTTATAGATAGCCTTATAAGTTGATTAATGGAAGATAAATAATTTCCCCTACTTTCCCAACGAGTATGTGGGAGTATGAGGATGACTAGTTCTTCCTCCTAGATTGGACGGTTAGTTTCCTCCTTTTCTAGTGTGACCAAACCAACTTATCTTGGACACCTCATCTGCCACTTGTTGGTAAGATGGATTAGACGATAGTCATAGGTCCAAGTCAAACGACCCAAGCTACAGTTAGGGGACCCTAGGTTGTGGCCGCCCGGTTCTTCCAATGTCCTTCTCACAACATTTTTAGGCTGCTTAAACCCTGGGCTACTTCTCTCTAGGCCCAATAATGGTATCCAAGTCCATATTCCCTCAAGAATGAGACATATGAAGAGTGAGTTCATTAAACTAGATGTGCATCAATCTCTTTAAAGCTTACATCGACGAGTGTCAGCGTAACACCCCGTTTCCCAAAATAAAATAAAACGATTAAAATAAGCACATATCAGAGTTTCTCCCACTTACGGGATGTCACAATTTTTCCACAAGATTCCACATAACATTTCTCAAAATCATTTTCAGTAATATTGCAGCGGAAAAATAAAATTAGTCTGCCATAAACCACATAACATGTATATATACATCATCATATATACAAAAATCGGCCATCTGCCCAAAATATAAATATATATATATATATATATATATATATATATATATATATATATATATATATATATATATATATATATATATATATATATATATATATATATATATATATATATATATATATATATATATATATATATATATATATATATATATCCATCAAGCATTATCACACATCCCACAAAAGAACAGATACGCCACAGGGGCACACATAAACAACAAATGACAACAAACTCCCAAAAGCCCCGGTGCTATGTATCAGAGCATGTCCTACAACGACGCCATAATCCAAGCTAGCTAAACACCTGGATTGTCTGTACTTTCGAAGAAGCACATACCACAACAACAACAAAGGGGTGAGATTCACGATCAAATATTAATGGTATAAACATACATGAAATAAAAGGCGGAAAGAAATAAATCATTTATTTCATATACCACATATTCGGACCTAATGTCCCATCATCAACAATCACAACACATACACAACTCATTATGCAACACATGCACTGGACTCCACAAAATGCGGTACCGACTCAACTCAGGATAGATCGCATACACTCCCTCTGAGCAACGATCTATCCCTACCACGCTCCTCCTGAGCTCATATAATCAAATATCAACGTCCCCCACTTGAGATACGGGTGGTCGCATACACTCCATCCGAGCAACGATCCAAATTCCCGTCCACGCTCCCCCACTGGAGCACATGAGTGTACCATATACCACGTCCACGCTCCCCACTGGAGCACGCGAGTAAATCATACACCGCGTCCACACTCCCCACTTGGAGCACGTGTGTGAATCACATACACTCCACCGAGCCGTGATTCACCACGTCCACATGCTATGCATATACACAAAAGCACACAAAGTGAATCGATTCTACTGATCCAATCACCACACAACAACACGTCAATACAATGCTCACAAGGCATATTCGATCCTACTGATCACAACTACCACACAACATATCACACACTATGCACATAAGGCATACCGATCCTACCGATCCAATCATATATCACATACATATTAAGCACACAAGTGCATCCGATCCTACTGATCCAATCGTCACACAACAGCACATAATCACAACGCATATAAAGCGTATCAGTCCTACGGACCCACTTACCACAACACATCACTATAACATACTCAATGTGTAACGATCCTACTGATCCGCATATTTCGCACACTGTGCATACATCTCACGTACGCACCCACACATATTCATTCCTAGTCGAAGGATACATAGCCACTTTAGGCATCACAGCGTACTGCAGTTCAATCGTTCATATCAACGAGTATTCAAGCACACACCCTCTAAATCACCTTCATGCTCTCAACCGATCCACAATAACCACGTACTCGCTCACGACCAACAGGAGTCCAACCACGCGAGAATGGAACAACACAGCAGAAAAATCACAAACTGCTGTCATGTTCGCTGCCATTCGCCTGGCAAAGCCCCATAGCGAACACTCGCTGGGAATCGCCCGAAGAAACCCCTAGCAAAGCCAAAAAGAAGCAAAAGGCAGCATTCGTTGCCCAGTTTTCCTGGCGAAGGCTCGCCCCTATTCGCCCACCGAAGGCACGCGAATTCTGCAGAAAACAACTCTCAGCTTAGAGTCGGCAACGCACTCCGAGCCCAGCCGATTCTATTCCAAGCCAAACCCCAACATACCAGAAAATCGTTCCACTACCCGACTATAACATCCAACTCAGTTCTGCTCGGTTACGCTTACATCTACGCAATTACCAACTTCCGGTATAACTTCGAATTCACCCGGAAACCCCCAAATTCCCTCAATTAACACATGCAACGAAATCAAACATCATAAACGCAACCATTGCAGAATCATAAACACAAACTCAACATCACATTAACATCAAACTATGGGGATTAGGGATTTTCCCCTTTTCTACCAGTTTCATGCATAACCAATTCGATCGATTAATCCCCCCTTACCTCGAAATGTAGTTTGATGATGAACCTTCACAATTTCACAGCCTTGATGATCTCCTCGCCCAAGCTTGTTGAACCGTGTTCCTCCCCTTTCATTCGTTCTCCTCCTTCTTCCGTGTTCTTCCAAGCGTGTTTTCTTTCTCTAATTCTATTTTCACCAATGCCAAGTTTGCCCTTAGTCCCAATAATTCCTCGTTTTCTTTATATTTCCAAATAATATTAATAATCTCATAATATTAATAATAATAATAATAATAATAATAATAATAATAATAATAATAATAATAATAATAATAAAAATACTAATATCAACATTAATATTAATTATTAATTATTATCATTATCGATTATCAAATATTAATATTATGCCTCTAATTATTCTTCAATTCCCACACCAAACATGCTGACGAATAAAAATAACACCGGAACTAAAATAATTAAAATGGGCGTTACAACTCTCCCCCACTTTAATTATTTTCGTCCCCGAAAATACCTGATGGAAACAACTTTGGATACGCGTCCCGCATCCTGCTCTCCAGTTCCCAGGTCACACTGCCTCCCGCAGCACCTCCCTAAGCCACTATCACCAAAGGTATCTCTTTCCCTCTGAGTCGCTTCAGCTTGCGATCCTCGATCCTCAATGGTAACGTCTCCACAGTCAGATTCTCTCTAACTTGGACTTCATCCCTCTGAATCACATGAGACGGATCGGGTACATACTTCCGAAGTTGTGACACATGGAACACGTCATGCAAGTTCGAAAGCTCCGGCGGCAATGCTACCCTATAAGCCACAACACCAATCCTCTACGAAATCTGATACGGCCCGATAAACTTCGGATCCAACTTCTTGGACTTCAAAGCACGTCCAACACCCGTCACTGGGTTAACCCTCAAAAATACATGGTCACCCTCACTGAACTCCAACTCTTTCCTGCGGTTATCATAATAACTCTTCTGCCAATCCTGAGATGCCTTCATCTTCTCACGGGTCATCTGTACTGTCTCAGTAGTCTGCTGCACCAACTCTGGTCCCAACACCACATTCTCCCCTGACTCATACCAACACAAAGGAGTCCTACACCTCCTGCCGTAAAGAGCTTCAAACGGTGCCATCCCGATATTGGAATGGTAACTGTTGTTGTACGTGAACTCAACCAAAGGCAAATGAGTATCCCACGTACCACCTTTCTCTAACACACAAGCCCGCAACAAGTCCTCTAAAGTCCAAATAGTCCTCTTCGACTGCCCATTCGTCTGCGGATGATAAGCTGAACTCAGCTTCAACTCAGTGCCCAAAGCCTCTTGCAAACTCTTCCAAAATACAGAAGTGAACCTCAGATCTCTATCCGACACAATACTCAACGGTATACCATGCAGCTTCACAATTACCCGAGTATAAATCTTTGCCAGCTTCTCCAACGGAAAGCTAATACTGATCGGTACAAAGTGTGCAGACTTCGTAAGCCGATCCATAATCACCCAAATGACATCA